AGCACGACCTCCAAAGAAATGTATCCAACATCCTCTCCCTGATTATACTGCAACGCTTACAAAACTATAAGGTTTATGTGTTTCTTTAAAAGTGCTTGAAGAAGGAGGCCTGTCTTGCTACATCCCCTCCGCTTGTGATTCAGGCTGGCTGGACCTGCAGATTTTGTTTCGTGCTGTGAAGACGCATGTGAGAAAGGCTGGGCTCACCTTCCAATACAGATAGGAAGCGATTTCCTTCAGGGTGTAGGAAGAGTGGCAGGAGGGTTTTATTTTCATTCTTCATGCGATTATTATCAGCTCTTTAGCAGCTCTAGTTTGGGATTGCGTAGTAAGCTTGGGGAGAAAAGCCTTTTGCCCCACAATCATTTCCTTTCATTCCTCAGGCCAGTGCAAAGGTAATAAAGAAGCAGACGCTCATATTCGGCTGAGGGAGCCAAGGAATGTATTTGGTGTTCCAGGTCAGATAACTACAAGTGGGTAAACCCCAAATTACAAGCAGCTAAGCGCTGTTTATTGTTATTTATCCTTGCCTCCACCTCTCGGGGCGGGGTGTCTTTCTCCCCCGGCTGCCAGCTTGCCGGGCGGAGCGACGGCCGCATCGGAGCAGCGCTGCCGCCCTCTCTCGGCCCCGCACGCTGGAGAGCCCCTCCAAACCCTCCGCGGGTGCAGCGGGGGCAGCCGCAGCCAACAAAGAAGGGGGGAAAAAAGACAAAAAAGACAAAAAAAAGACGAAGACGGACGAAAAAAGAAAGACGAAGAAAGACGAACAAAAAAAGACGAAGACAGACCAAAAAAAAAGACGAAGACAGACAAAAAAGACGAAGACAGATGAAAGACGGAAAGATGGAAAGAGATTTTTAAAAAGAAGAAAAAAACAGGAAAGAAGAAAAGATGAAACAAAAAAAAAAGAAAAGGAAAAAAGGAAGAAAGGAAGAAAGGAAGAAAAAAGACAATGAAAAGGCGACGAAAAGGCGACGAAAAGGCAACGAAAAGGTGATGAAAAGGCGACAAAACAAGGAAAAAAGGGAGAGAGAGTGTTCTTCACTGAGGGGGTGGTCAAGCACTGGAACAAGCTCCCAGGGAAGCGGTCATGGCCCCAAGCCTGCCGGTGTTCAATAAGCATTTGTACAACGCTGTTAGGTACGTGGTTTCACTTTCAGATTGCCCTGTGTGGAGTCAGGAGTTGGACTCTGTGATCCTCGTGGGCCCTCTCCAACTCAGGATATTCTATGATTCTAAGTACTAAAACTCAATTCAACTTAGTTATACTACTTGCAGGAGAGGATCTCAAAATACTGTGCAAATGCTAACGTTTAACGAAGTGATAGAAGGGAAACAGACATTTGTCCTACCATCATTTTTCTCATCAGATATTTCTTTTTTAAAAGAGCATCAAATTAAAACAAGGACAGACTGTATTAGCTACCAGCAATAAAACAGTATCAGACTGACCAATTCTTGCTTCTGGGGTGGGGCACACGTTACGCCACGCACCGTGTAAGACAGCAATGTGGAAGACAGACAGGGAAGGGATACAGAAAACATCATCTCCATCTCTCAGGTTCAGAAGAGAGGCACAAGACAACTAAAAGGAACACCCAAAGTCGCTTGTGCACTGGACTGAGCTGGGGATATGGCACCAAACCATAAGCATTTTGATCGGCTCCAGCATGGCATTTCAAGGAAGCAGGAGAGGAGATGTGCGCAGATGTCTCTGTGCCATTTTTACTCGTAGAGATTCTGGAGGAACAAAGACTTTCCTCCTTCTATCATAACTGCCTGGAGGTTCTCCTGACCTTTTTTTCCCCTCCCATTTTTCCAGGTGATTAAATCGTGCAGTTAGAAAGCATGACTATAATGCCAAGAAGCCAGCAATTTTAACACCACAAAAGGATAAGTGCATAATACTTCAGGCCATATTAGTTTCAGCACGGACTGACCCTCAGCTGGGGATGACAGAGCACCAACAGCTCCCAGCACAATGACTGACAGAACTGGGACATGGCAAATTGCACTTTCGAAGCCTGCAGCAGAACAAGAGCTAGGGGATACGCTTTGCATTAAAAGCAGCCGTGCACTACATTCTTAGAACAAGGATAAGGTAGGACAGCCCATGACTACCTCCCTTCTAAACCATTTCACTTGGAACATTTTCCATCCTCCTCTCATTCTTCTCCTTTGCTAGTCTGTAAAAGACAGTTGTCTGTACTAGTGTAATGTTACTTATATTCTTACACTACACTACAGATTTGTACTAAATTAAAGAGATTTTGCTACCTGCGAACGTCACATTAATTGAAAGAACAGCTTAGAGCGTGACATCTATCGATGGGTGAGCAAAAAGACTGCTTTCCCTCCCCTCAACTCAGCGCTGCAATTGAGCCTCAGTACATTATTGCTGTGTTGTACCCGTACAGACTAAGGCACAATCGAGGCACCCAAATGTTCAAGATTTTGGCCCCCCCAAGTCTTTGCTCACACCTCCACTAACTGGGTGGTTTGTAACATTCCCAGCCTGTACGTGCCTGGTGCTGCCCCAGTGTGAGCAATTGGAAGGCCACAAGTAAGATCCTGAATGGTAAAGAACCTAGGGTTAGCCAGAAGTAATCACTTAGCATAGCTGAAATTTAGGTTGTCCCATGGGTTTTCCCCCTGGGTGGAGGGGACTCAGCTTCAGGACTGTTTCTGTATTTTTGCCAGTTATTGTTTAGCTTTAAAAGATTACCAAAAAAATAGTTGCTCCTGTTCCCATGGGTCCCAGGAACTTTGTGCTCTCTTCTCTGCTGCGGTGTGGCTTCCCCAGGCAACATTCCCCCTGTGGGATTTCCCAGGGCCTGAGGCACAGAGCCCTCTCCTGGGAAGGGAGCTTGAACCCATCCAGAGTGGGAACTGAAGGAAGCCCAACATCTCTCGTTTTCCAACTGCTATTACAAAGACGCGTACGCTTATACATCCCCCTTATTGCCACCCAGCTTCCACCAGGCACTGTAGATGTGACAGCAACACGTAGAACAGAGGGCCTGTGTCTTCACTCCGGGAAATGAGGATTTGCTAATCCAAACTCTCTTATTCTGTCATTGCTATAACGTATTTGAGTTCTGGAGGCATGATTAAACTCTAAGTTTCCTGTTAAACTCTAGCTTCCTGTTCCTGTGCCTCGTTAAAAAAAAAATCAGTACTCATTTCAGCTCGTGCTGACAGCTGATACCGTAAGTAATATTAAACTAACATTTTTATTTTCAGAGTATGCTTTGAACAGAGTAGCCTTAACTTAAGAATTATTTTAACAGTTCATTTCCTAAAAAGAACTAAATCACCGTTTCCAAACATTACATCCATACACAAGCTGACTCACAGCATGAAGTTTCACTGAAGCCATGGCATGGCCGCAGTGAATTCAATGCAAAATAAACTCTATTTACATAAAGACCACTCTCAGTGGAAAAATACCACCAAAACCTACAGAATAAAATAGGAAAAAAACTTGTAGGATTATTTAACAATCAGCCTAAAAGCACAGGCAGTCTGGAAAAAGGATATTAATGTCTTTAATTCTTCAATGGCTCTAGAAAATTCTATTAGCAGGGATGGAATTTTCTATTCAATTACATAGGGAGATTTAAAATATATAAAGGTAATCACAAAACTTCTGTTGGATTTTGCCTACAGCATGGTCAAAAGAGACTATGATTTAACTGAGACTAGAATTTCAGACATGCTTTTACATGTTTTTAGTGTTGTTCCCTGCAGATCCATCCTGTACAGATCAGGTTATTTACGGATTAAGTGCCGGGAAACAAGAGAAGTTACAATATGAAATATGTTCAAAAACCTGGAATTAATTTTATAACTTTTGCTAAGAGAATTAATAACACACAGCACAATTGGCCCAACGTCTATAGATCTGCTTGTAATTACTACTTTCTACTATGACAACTTTCAATCTACTACCATATGTGTTTCCATTGATTCACGACAACGGAAACATCACTCTAGCTCAATACTGTTAAATGCCATTTTCAGAACAGGAAATACAAGCTTTGAAGTGACCAACGAAATGGAGCGATTATGTAGTTTAGTATTTGCTTTGTGCAGTTTGAGAGAATTGTTACAAATTCCTTTAAACACTACAAAATGGGAAGTACTGTGCATAAGACGTAAGTGGCAAAGCAAACCTGCTTTGCCATAATTATGTTATGCAGTTGACGAAGTTTTGATATAATCAATGGTACGGAGGTCCCAAAGTATAATCTTAAGTAGTCACTACATAAAATATCACTTTAAAATATGAGTTACACACTGTAAGAATCCTACTGTATCAATAATCTTATATCACTAAAGAGTAAGTTGATAAAGGATTTTCTTTCACACAATTCTTGCCTCTCCCTTCCATCACAGTGCTACACCCGCGTTAGCTGTGCCTGCAGTACTCGAGCCGGGAGACTGCGGGCAGGAGAAGCGACCAAGATTGGCGTGTCAATGAAGGCACCAGATGCCACTGATGCATCTTCCACACTACAGTCCTCAGGCACCACAGCAGAACCAGGAACTCTCCCGGCTCCAAGTTTTCCTAGTAAAGACAGATTTGAAAAGGCACAGCCACTTCCCTAAGTGACAAAAACAAAACACTGATACGTTCTATTGTCAAGTAAGCCTGTAAGATCAGAACTGCACAGTGTTAAAGTTAAGCTACTTTATTCTGGTTATACAGTCCTTTGGACAGATCACATTCAACTGTTCATTTAACCTAGCACAGATCTCACTTAATTAATCCACAGAGTAAGTTCTTTCGAACAACCGTTTTAATGCAGTGTTAATGACGGCCCCTAATTTAATCTTCTGCTCCTCCATTTAAAAAGTGATTTTTAAATATCGTCGAAAGACAGCACTTGGATTAATAGTTCACTGCAAAGACTTCCACTGAGAAGAAAACAAGAAGGTAAAAGAAAAAAATACCCCCTACCCCCATACACACAGAAAGGATACAAAAACATGCCAAATAAAGGTTTGTAACAGATTTTACTTGTAGAAAAGCAACATTTTAGCATCATTTCACAATAAAAAGGTAAGATCTGTTTGGTGTTATACAGACATGGTGTATCAACTCAGAATGCAACAGGTAAAGCATACTGTAATACTCGGTATGAAAGGTATGAGATACACTGTTCTATTTAGCCAATTACTCCTGGTGCCTCTTTGTGGATACTTTCTTTATTACAGGTCCTCTCTGCTTCATACATGTCAGCAGTAGATTTTGGAATATAAAAACTGGAAGCGTTAAAATACACTGAAATGTGTCTGGAAAAATCAAACCCAGGACCAATTTCTCACTACACAATAATAGCTCTACCAGATCATTGAAACAAATGGCACCTTGTATGTAAACTATCTGTCCCATCATTCTACTCCCCTTTATATAAAAAAAGGAAAAAATTTGTCTTGATATAGAAAATGGTTCCATCTTCTTGCTTCTGCATTCATGTGACTTTATTATCAGGTTTCTTTATCCAGATATTAAATTGTAAGATTAACAATTACTTATCGTGGGGCTTTTCCACCATCTTCAGTGCTAATCTTCCAACCATCAGCAAACTGTATAAGGGAAAAAACATAGAATGAAACAATAATAATAATTTGTCAATTCATTTTCAAATACTTCCCATGTAACTGGTGCATAGAAAAAAAAAGATAAACTGAGATGGAGTGAATCATATTTTGTGTAATTAAGCAAATAAGAAATCACACATAGGAGGTTAAAAAAAAAGTATAATGCGTTGTACCTGACACCAGCAATTAGCCCTGCAGGCATAAATTTTCCAGAGTTGTAAAATCTTGTTCCCATGATGGCGGTCAGTGTTCCAGATGTAACTTAAATGAGAGATTATACAGTCCAATCAGCAGAGATGCATATGTGTGAGAGAGATGCTACAATTCAAAACTAACAGAACAGAGAGAAGTAGTAGCATCAAGTAAAAAGTGAAACAGGGTTATTTCATGTGATGGACTAAAAGAGTCAATAAACTCTAAATTCTGGAATGCGTCAGTATGTGAAGAGTAAATCAAGTTGTAGCAGACAGTGCACTTCATACGCTTCTGCACACACTCCTCAAATTTCTTTGTCAAAATGTGCTTCTCTGGAGACTGAAAATAATCTATGCTACACTGCTCTGGAACTGACCCCTTCCCTGTGCACAAGCAAGTCACTAAACCTGTGCATGTAATTCCCCCACTTCTCAAAAAAGGGAGATAGCATTTTCTTGTCTAACTTGTAGTAATGTTCTGAGAATTAACTAATTTATGTTTGCAGAAGACTTCAAAAGGGAAATGTGCCATGTTAAGTGCTAAGCATTACCAATCCATTTCAGCCCTGGACCACCTTCTACTAAAATCAGAGAGTTAAAGCTATCCACCCCGACCACTTGACAAAGAGACAAGAGCCAGGTAGTTTCACTGAGCCAGTAAAATAGAAAGGGCAATCCCTGGAACACTGTATCTCAAAGAAAGACAGAATTCCAAAAGAACTACATAGAAAACCTACTGATTAAATCCTTAGCATGCATCTACTACCCAGTGGTAACAGCTACACATTAACACGTTGTTCCAACCTCTCATTTTCTACCATTGCTTCTATGCAATGGCTGGTTCTGCAGGACCCAGCTCATCTTCAATCCTAGCCATGGCATCCTTCCTCCCTACCACCACCTTAAATATTGTGCTTGACACCTAACAGTCTCATATAAGTAGATACATAAAAGACTGGGACCACAGTCTAATACACAAGAAAGAACTAAAATTAAGTATTCAAATAGCTCAAGCTCTACAAAATACACACACCTCACTAAATATAATTTTGTCCAAGACAGCAGTAGAATACACCTTCTCCAAAAACTTCAAAGCATGAAAAGGAGGAGGAGAAGACTCCATATGCTACTGAATTATAGAAACATATCCGTCTCTCACATTTGGGAAAATACTCTGTCTCACTCCTGTTAAGCTTGCTGTATTTGCAGTTTGTTCCAGTTATTTAGGCTTGACCATGCACAGCTTTTGACCTATCCAGTAGATGTGAAAGTGGACAATGCTGAAGTGGAGAGAAACGCTGGGCCTTCCCCTTTTACTTCTGACTTTGGCATATCAAAGAGCTACATGCTATGTCACCAAGCGGTGACAAATGCTACCATCAGTGACAGCTCTTTACGCACTGACTAAGCAGTGACTCTCTGCTGTTATCTTCTCAAAGTCACGAAGTAAGGAAGTTCCAGTTCTGAGAAGAAGGAAGAAGAAACTGCATTACTGAAGCTTGCTTCTCTGTTAAATCTCCCCAGGTGTGCAACACCTTTGTAATTCCACATATTTGTCATACATAAAAATAAGCCAATCACAGTCTCTGCCATTTTCAGTGACAATAAAACAACCTGCTAGGGGTACGGGCAGTCTGCAGGGAAATCACACTTCCTGAAATGCTCCAGCCTCCTGCAGGATGCTGAGAGTAGGATCCAGCCAAAAAGAGGACAGACAGAGGTCAGACATCCATTTACTAGCACTTCCCTTGCACTATGATCCTTCAAACACACCAGCACGAGACAGGTGCATGGTGGCAGCCACCAATTCAGCCAAGCCTGGGGACTGAAACATAGCTAGTGCTAGAGGACTGTCATGCACTGATGTCTTCTACAGGTCAGGAGAGGAGAGGATACTACTAACACAGATACTGGCCAAAGGATCACACAAAACACATGCTCACAAGTACCTGAGATACAGCAGCCTAACAAGTGTCAGGCATCAGCTGAGCTGCAGGAATTATCTACATATATTTTCTCAGCCCACTTCAATTGCAAGGTATCCTAACTTGCTAGTGAATGCAAAAAGTTCAAGTCATGTTATTTTGCAACTGGCATGAGTTTTAGGCATGCACAAGTTAAAGTGATAGGTGATAACCGTCCTAACCTGACTGCAACCCTGAGCTCTATATGGTAAATGGCAGGACAACAATTGCATTTTGGAGATTTGCACCATACTACATAAAAGCTTTTAAACACAAAATGCTGATTTTTTTTTTTTTGCTGAAGGATGTGAAATAACAGTATTTGGTTTGATTATTTTTTTTAAACCACGTAAGTTTCACTTTATCCTAGCACACGTTTTCCTTCACAACCTGTAGGTTTTTTAATGTTCAGAAGACAAACTCTAATGATAAATAACAGATATTTTCCTCTCCTGTTGTAGAAAAGAAACAAAAATGTCAGTTTGAACTATCACCCAAAGCACTTTATACTTCTTGCAGAAGGTATGCAGGAATGTAGTGAGAAATCACTGAGCAAGACACACCAAGACAAGCAGTTTTTAATATGCATTCTCAATACATTCTTTTAAAAAAAAAAATTAAGTAACACTAACAGTTCACATTCCAGGGAGAACAGTGGAGTTTGGCCACTAATGGAGATTTTTCACTAAAACACAAGTTTAAAGATTGGATTGAAACTACATTTATAACACCATCAGTTTAACTCTTCCGCAAAGACTTTTAGGTACTCATTTTAAGTATCCAGTTATTTCAGGGTAAATATAATACTTCCTAATTAAAATTTTAAACAACTTACTCAGAGAAATCCAAACATTATTTGGATTCTGTGAGAGCTGATAGGCACCCAGTCCAGCCAAACTCCCAAAGAAAAGGCCAGCAGCTAGCGATGGGACACTACCTGAATAAGTAAAAGATAATGCATTTATTAGAAGCTCAGAAATAAACTTGCTCATCGGCTCCTCTGTTTTGTAAAACACCAACAACTTAAGAAAAAAAAGAGATGGGCATTCATTGTTATAAAGCAGATTAGAGGCTTGTTTCTTTAAAGATATTAAGACCATGCTGATGTGCACCAAGACACACGTTGAAATACTCTTGCATAAGATACAAATAGCATTAGTATTTAATTCTTTAACAGCAAAGCCATTAATATATTTATGATGGAAAGAATAGTGAGAAAAGCAAAAGAATTGGCGTTTTCTTTGTGCAAACTGAAACACGTTGTTTCAACACAGTAATATCACAATTTCTTGAGAGGCAGTAAAGTAGATGGATTAAATAGTAAGGGTTTAAGATCAGAAAAAGGACATGTGGACTGAACTGGGCAGGAGGGCATTCAGACAAACAAAAAAAAAGTTGCTAAAGAAGAGAATGGAGTCAAAGAAGAGAGGTCATGCCTCTTAAGTACACATCAGATCTTCAGATCTGATCCAAAGGTAACTGCAGACTTTGGAAGAAGGTTCCCTGGACTCACCTAAACTTTGGATCAAGTCTTCAGCATAAATGACAATCCCAAGCTACCAGAAGATAAAGGATACCACATCCAAATTGGTGATTTATAGATTACATCAAGTAAGGAAGCGGCATGACCGCTGTGAGTGGTGAATGCCCTCATTAAGGTTGAGGGAGAATTCAGGACTTAATGCTACTGAGGGTCGTTCTTTATATATTCCATTTTCAGGTCACTTTTAAAGGACTCGAGATTGCAAAGCTAGGCTGATAAAGATCTCCTCTCAATGTTACCGGAGGATCGCATACTGCTACCAGAAAGTAATAATTTTTCAGTCATCAACAAGGCAGCTGTAACATTGCTTCAGATCCTGCTTTTGGTATAAAAAGCAAAAGATAAAGATGATAGAAAGCAACAGATATTCTTTTATATGTACAAGGAAAAGATGCACACTCTAGTAAGTGGCTGCTCTGGACAGAATACAGTTTAGCAACCAACATGTGGCAGCTACAATTTTTTGCACAAGCCTGGGAAGCCCACAAAGGGCCATCGTATCCTTGAATTTTACCTCAAGGCATTGTTTAAGCAGCTATGACACATACACTTACTAGGACAACCACACCACCTCTGGCTCAGGAAGTTCCTGAGTCTCAAAACACCGGGACCCAGAGAACTCACTAAAGGAAGAGAGAAAATCAATCAATCACTCTTTGCTTGCCCTGTTCTCATATGTTTCCCAAGGCACCTGCTGCTGACCACTGTCTGTGTGGGTAAATAGACCTGGTTGTAAAAGAACAGATCACCATCTCAGCTCTGTAGATGAAAGTTCCATTTTCTTTTGGTTTCTTTAAGTTATTAGTAGGGATACAATAGCTTTTTTTTTTTTCCCCCTCCTTACAAGTCACCATAAAAGTTGCTGTTCCCCCTTCAAAAATCCTGTGACCTGGATTCCCTTGCCTCAGCGTGACCATGTCCTCCCATCTGGGACCAGAGGATAAGAAAGACACCTACCATTTCATAACGGCCTCAGAGAAATACAGATGCAATTAACTCAAGTTCTCGGTATTGTCGCTCCTGCCCTAAACTCCACTCACAGCTCAAAGTATGAATCAAGCCAACAGAAAGCAGATTGGAAAAGGCATTAGCATCTATGTAGTCAAATGCACTGGTAAGATTCTTACTGACTTCAGCAATGCACCTCCGTATCACAAACACTAAGATGGCTTAGGGATTTTTCAAAGCTGAAAGAGACAGTATTGCAGCAGGGACAAATCCACAGTTCTGTCCAGAGGAGGGCAAACTCAGAAAAAGGTCAGGAAATGAAAGCGGTAGGTCAGAGGGTAAGCTTATGATGCAGAGCCCAGAAAAGGAACAAGCTTAAGGACTGATTTGCATTGTTCAGTTCTACTTGGAGAAAGGATCCTTCTGAAAACTCTATGCAGCTTGCAGTACACTGTTACCATCAAACATTAAAATGAGAATAAAACTCCAAGGGAAAAAAAAATGGTGATTTATGTCATAAATAGAAATATGGTGTAATAGAATGCTTATATTTAAAATAGCAGGGAAAAAGCCTTTCTGAAGCAAACTTATGTCAGTTCACCCAAACAGCACAAAGCAGAGGCAGGATACCAGCATCCACCAGAAAGCAGATTGTGGGCTCATCAGCCCAAAACACCAGCTCAACCCAAAAAGCACCACACCCCAACAGCAGCAAGTTATCAGCACATGGCACACTTTACTTCTGCGTGAACTTCGAGATAGGAGGCTTTCGTAAAAAGCCGCCCAGCTCACACAAAGTTATTGGGGGGCGGGGGGGAAGTGAAGGAGATACAAGCGCCTTCCCGCACCGTACCTGCTTTTGCATAGCCAATGAGCCCTCCTGATGCCACCAGGGCAGCGTAGCCAAAGCCGAGCCAGTCCACTGCCATGCTGAAAACTGGAAGAGAAAATGGGGTGAGGGTCGGTATTTCTTAATTTTTTAGAGAAAAAAAATAATAGCATTTTGCCGCCGGGGACTTTTCCACGAGCAAGGCCTGCCTAAAGCCTAAGCCCTAAACCGAGTCCAGGAGATGAAAACCGATTTGTTGGGAATGCAGCCCTGGGGACGGCG